CCGGTACAATACAAAGATGATCTGTGGAGGCCAAATCAGGAGTGTGTCATTATTCGACCCGACCCATCTCTCAGGCAACATATTGTTAAGTTCAGTCCTACTAAGAGTAACATTCAAATGAAACCATTTTTCTAAAAATTCAAGCACCACTTGCCAATAGAGTGGATACTTGAAGGATCATCGTTAAACCTGGTTCTAAAGTGTCGTTGTACACTAATAACATATTGGTGATAATCCAGCATACATAAAGCTTTCTTGTCTACAAACTCAGCCATTACACAACACTTACAACAATTGACATGATAAACAGCTGATATGCACACAAATCAATCTAAATGGAACTTTATAAGTTTTCGTTTCCACTTGTACCAACTAAAACAGTCTTAAAACAAATTATCCCAGTAATATTTACTAGGTGGCGTTCGCAGATGCATCCACAAAATTGAGCGGAGTCATCAAGGGTTCATATTAGCCTATATTGTTTTTGTCATACTACAGTAAAAACAGTCGTCATTGATGCATGCGTTGCGGGTCTAAAGTAGCTCTTTTACTCTTTAGGGAATAAAATTCGTTTTTAGCCTCTATGGAGTAAAACTCAGCTGTTGTCAATTCAGTTGTAAATTTCTATTGTAAACGATTGAATACGTATCGAATTATTTAACGATTCGTGCTTCATAATCATTTGAACCTACAGTCTACAGTCTCTTCCCATAGCATTTTAGGATTGCAGATACATTAATGTAATTGCCAAAGACAGTTTCTACACTCTGCACTGCAAGCCTTACTAATTCTTTCACCATTTCCTACGTCATAGACCTGTTTCCTTCCCTTCTCATAGCATTTAAGTATTAGATACATTTATCTAACTGCCCAAACGGTTCCCTCACTCTGCACTGCCAGCCTTTACTACTTCCTTCACCACTTCCTACATCTTAGGGCCTGTTTCCTTCCCTTCTCATAGCATTTTAGGGTTGATGATACATTAATCTAACTGCCACAGACGGTTCTCACAATGGGTTGCCGGAATTTTACCCCCAGGGCAAAGCTGACGTCACTATGACGTAGTAACCTGAGTGGCCAAAAGTTTGTTCGCGGCCGGAATTTTAACCCCGCGGATTTGGAAGTCTAATGAAAATAGCCAGAGCGTGATTAATTAGATTAGCGATAAAAACCGGAATTTTACCCCCTGTCCATATAACTAGCGTTTAGGCAACTGAAGATGTACGGGCCGGATTTTTACCCCCGGAATTTTACCCCCGGATTTTTACCCCCCGGAATTTTACCCCCTGGCCGATTTAAGAAATAGAATGATGGATTTTCTTATTTACGATTTAATTAATTGTAAACATTTCATTATTTAGGAGCCTATCTTTATTTATTTTTTAATCTCAACTAAGTAAACAGAATTCGCTGTTTTATTTTGATCATATTAACCATCAGTTGGCTTCAAAGATTGAATCCTCATACTCGAATCTCAAAATAGTTAATGTTACAAAAAAATTAAGATAGGCTACAGTACTTAATAATAAAATGTTTACTATTAAATTAAAACTGAATGAAGTTAATTAATAATTCTCACTTATTTATATATCTGGCCAGGGGGTAAAATTCCGGGGGTAAAAATCCGGGGGGTAAAATTCCGGGGGTAAAATTCCGGGGGTAAAATTCCGGGGGTAAAAATCCGGGGGGGTAAAATTCCGGGGGTAAAATTCCGGGGGTAAAAATCCGGGCCGTACATTCTAGGTTTTTATAATTTGATGTGTTCTGATTAAATTCACAACCGTGAAAATATATGTTTAATTCCGCGTGTAATCCATCGAGCTGATGTCGCGAAACTCAAAAGTTCGCGGCCGGAATTTTACCCCCTGGTTTGTGACGTCACGTTTGCCCAGGGGGTAAAATTCCAGGGGGATAAAAATCCGCTACCCCCTCACAATATGTTCATACTTTACTATAAAAATCTGTTTCCTTCCCTTCTCATAGCATTTAAGTATTAGATACATTTATCTAACTGCCCAAACGGTTCCCTCACTCTGCACTGCTAGCCTTTACGACTTTCTTCATCTCTTCCTACGTCACGTACCTGTTTACCACCCTTCCCTTAGCATTATTGGATTGCAAATACCTTAATCTATTGGTCATAAACAGATCCCACATTCCGGACAATTTGAGTTTACTACTTCCTTCACCACTTCCTACGTCACGGACCTGTTTCCCTCTATTCCCATAGCATTTTAGGATTGGAGATACCTTAATCTAATCGTCATGAACAGTTCCCACACTCCAAAAAACTCGCCTTTACTGCTTCCTTCATCACTTCCTACGTCACGGACGGAATGATAATGTTCCCTTAGCATTATTGGAATGCAAATACCTTAATCTATTGGTCATAAACAGATCCCACAATCCGGACAGCTTGCCTTGACTACTTCCTTCTCCACTTCGTACATCGCGGACCTGTTTTAATCCCGTCCCATAGCATTTTAGGATTGTAGATCGATACCTTAATCTAATGGTCATAAACAGTTCCCATACCGGACAGCTCGCATTGACTATTTCCTTCGCCACTTCCTACGTCGCAGACCTGTTTTCCTCCCTTCCCACAGCATTTTAGGATTGCAAATACCTTAATCTAATGGTCATAAACAGATCCCATACCCCGAACAGCTCGCCCTTACTACTTCCTTCACCACTTCCTACGTCACGGACCTGTTTCCTTCCCTTCCAATAGCATTTTAGGATTGCAGATACCTTAATCTAATTGTCATAAACAGTTCCCACACTCCGGACAGCTCGCCTTGACTACTTCTTCACCACATCCTATGTCGCGGACCCTTTTTCCTCCCTTCCCAATAGAATTTTAGGAATGCAGATACCTAAATCTAATCGTCATAAACACTTTCCACACTCCGGACAGCTCACCTTGACTACTTCCTTCACCACTTCCTACGTCGCGGACCCGTTTTCCTCCCTTCCCATAGAATTTTAGGAATGCAGATACCTTAATCTAATCGTCATAAACAGTTCAAACACTCCGGGCAGCTCGCCTTGACTACTTCTTTCACCACTTCCTACGTCACGGACCTCAAGCTAGTGTCGTCATTTGATTATATTTATGATCCATACCACCGTTTATGTTCTAATATCTGTGGAATAATGCTATCAGCTATTTATTTATCTACTGCATTCAAAAGTCAACAGCTGATCATATGTCTTTGTTTATGTGTCAAATACTGCTTCCATAAGGATTACATTGAAACTTTGAGACCCAGTGGGGCGGATTCCTGAGAGACTTTTTTAACGCCATATAGATGTTGGTACTCACCGATATGGTCTTTATCACCATGCAAAATTTGAAAACTATTGATTCAGCCGTCTAGGAGGAGTTTGCGTATTACGAAATGCATAAAAGTCAACGTATAAGAGCTTCGCTCGCTCCGCTCAATAATCAAAATCAGGAACATCATTTGTAATAACCCTGTATATTTCGGCTTTAGCCTTCTTCAGGCACAAAACAAAACAAATAATGTGTTTACCACTCTGTATCAGTTTTGTTTTGTTTTGTTCCTTGTGCAAAAATATATTGAACTTTTTCTTGTTAACAGTGTGTGAATAGTTTATTTTGTATAAATATAGTAACACTTCAATATTGTTGGCTTTGTAATTCAAATATTGTAAATCTTTTATTGTTTTGTCGTTGACTGAACGATTCACACCTCTAATAAACAAAGGTGTTGTTAATTAAGAGGAAATATAGGAAAACATTTTCGGTTGAGCTCTGGCCGATACGACAAAAGAATCCCAAGTATCCTCATAGTATGGAATCGCGCCAATTCACACCTCAGATTGAGAGTTTCAGTTATATCTAATCTAAAATATCCAGAAATAATCCAGAACAGTAATAGGACTTCTTACGAGTTCATCCCTAAATAAAACGTGTACAGTTCTGATAATAAATATCAGTTAACATAATACAGTTCAAGTAATCAAATAAAGTTACATAAATTAACAAAACAACTTTCAAACAAAAAAACTATACAGGATAAAATGGAGATAAATTAAAACAATATTGTAGAAACCAATTTTTTGTCTACATTAAGAAATCGACTATGGCATATTTTAAACTGTATTTTCAGTGACACAAATTCAACAACTTCAACAAATTGTTTACCACTCTTATATCTGCAGGGTAGTTTGACACGATACCAAAAAAAACGCGAGAACACGTGGTCCAAATGCATGCCTCAACACTACACCAAATAAGGATGTTCTAGCAATAACATTGTGAGTTTTGGATTTTGATTCGAATAAGCTTTAATTATGATTTCAATATATAGGTCGGCCGCTTAGAAAACAACCTCCTCCAGCATTGGTTTAGCATTAGCGCGCAGGTCGTTTTCTAAGCGGCCGAACTATAGTACATTCCCTTTAATTGAAAAATAAGTTTATAGCAGAAATTATTTGACTACTCGGCCAAACCTACACGTAACCGTGTTCTAAACATTGTAAAGATAATAGTAAAAAAATCCTGCAGATTTGGAATACCAGAAAACTGAGCAACACAAGTTCAACAGTCAAACAAAATACTCTATTGTAAGATTACATTTTATTGTTAAACAACTTTGGGCGTTTATTTTTTTCTGTTGATAGTAATCAGTTACAAGATCACTGAAACACAAAACGGATACATATCAGAAATAATGCAAAACCTATACCTATATAGGCTATATATCTGCCAAACCCCTGTGGACGTATAAAGACGAACCAGGTTACACATCTAAACCCGGAGACAACAACTTGTAAAAATAACGATAAAAATCGCACTTGAAATCTCTGAAAACTATGCAAACGCAAACACAACAATCAGAGGAAGTCCATTTGTAAACGCTGCATTTGCTGTCAGACCACGCGGAAACTATTTTTTGACAGATGCAAAGTTTATAAATAAGAAGCGGGCGTGCGCGACTGCTGGCCGGGTCAGTCTAGTTGAGTCAGTTCGCTCGCTAACCGTACGACCGACATGCCGTCCCATCGCCTGCTGAAGGGGCCGACCCTAGCCCTGGATCTCCCCACCGACCACTACCAGCCCCTGGTCAACTGGATGTACCTGATGCCTGAACACGAACCTATGCCGGTCAGTGCCCAGTGATAACCGCACAGCATGCAGCAATATGTGTAGGATAAGATGTGTGCAAAATATCGGTAATGGATACTAATAAATTAAAATAAAAGGTTAAAAAAGGCAGTCATATATTTAGCGCTGTATGACAGATGGTTCCGACCTGCAGGTCTTTTTAAGTTGTACACCAAGTTGTAAAAAAATCCTCTTTTTGATTTTTATTTTCCGATATTTTAACGTTTTGTAAGGGAATGATCCAAAACCTGGTCTTGAAGACTAACAGCATTATTAATTGATACCCCAATGGCAAAATGACACCCAGGTCCAGAATACATCTAATTTGGAATCTAACCAGCACCAGCCCCCTTCAAATTTGATAGCTAGCACTACTCGACTACACTACAACAATAGTGTCATTGAATATCAATAATTTAAATTAAAAGTTGAAATACCTGTAGTATGATCCCATTTTCACTCTGTTTAGAACACCAAATTGTTTTTACAATTTCTTCTTCATATCTGGGACTGTAAAGATGAGTTAAATACAAACACAGACACGAAAACAGCAATAAAAATTTTGCCAAATTATGTATGCATTCGTGATGACTTTTTACAAATTAAGTGATCTATTTGCTATTTGCGATGAATATGAACTTATAAAATCATTTGCTGTTCAGCCTGACGAACACTTAGGTTCAAAACCATTGATTGTCTAGCATAGAAATAGAATCAAACAGTAATTTTAGTCAATTAATTTCATCAAAGTGATCCAGAGGCAAAAATATCATAATACATTATTTTTGAAAAATAAAAATGTAGGATTGAAGTTGTTATTTGGCGTTTAGGCCTAACATTAGATTTCGTTAAAACACAAATCTACCCTAGATTTAATTCACGATAAGTCTGCGGGAATTTTGTATCACTACTGGTAAAAACGTCTCCACGAAGATTCGGAACAGAATCAAATCCCGTCCTCGAATGGAATAGCCTACCAGATGATCTGTATCAGATAAACACAAGTGAGCCACAACTGGGAATCAACACATATCAGTCCTAGAAAGTAATTTCTATTAGCCATTGTATGGACCAGTAACATTAGATGTTTATACGAAAGTCAAACTACATTATGTAATACTGATGAGCAAATAATATAAATGAATAAGAAAAACCAGTAAAATCACACCTAGATCAACAACAACGGCCATGAGAAAAAAAGATAAACAAGAAATGTAACATATAAAACATCAGCATGGATAAATATTATGAAGTATGTACATAAAAAGTAATAAATTAATTAATAACGTATTGCTAAGGAATGTAAAGTGATACGGGCCAAATACAACAATGAGAAATGGGAAACGTGTTCTAAACTATGTGTACGAATGCAAAAGGATGAATAAAAAGGTAAATGCATTGCCAAAGTCATGTAAAATTACACTGAAATAATACGACTATGACGATACAAAAGTAACCTGTTCCAAAGTTGTATATGAATTCAATGCAATAATAAATTGAAGAAACGTATTTCCATGTCACAGACAAAAAAACGACGACAGTACATAAAACCCGTGTACTCAAGTTTGTACTCATGCAGGTAAAAACAAGGGATACAAACAAGGTAAATCAATAACCAATGACATTAAAGTCATACAGGCCAGCGAACACCATAAATGCAAAAGATACATGTTTTACATGGGTAAAAGAGGCCAACTTGCAACGATGATTCATATGAAGTAGGTTGTAAATTTTGCAAAGGGATGAATACTAAAAGGTCTCTGTTGTCCAACAACTACTGTTAATAATGCATTCTAAGCTCCTTAGATTTGGGACATGATTCTGCCAATTGAAAGATACTGTTGTAACAGGGGTTTGGCAGCCAGTGTAGTATTTTAATTTGCAAGGACCAAATTGATAGTTAATACCAAGGGAATTGATGCCAAACTATACACCAGCCACGTTTTAAAGCTTATTTCTCAAGAAGCGTTGAAAATAATCCCAATCAATTGTTGGCCTAATTTTGATAAAGTAGAGTTTGTTCAAAAAATCTGTTCCTTATAGTACCTATGTGTTCAAATAAATTCTCTAATTAATTTCGATGTAAAAATATACAGTTTTGTCAGTACATTGCCACTTACCAAAACGAGAATACTTTCTATTTCTGTCTGTCTGTTGGTAAAATACCAAGTACCTAATTTGTTCATACGGGAAATTGTTGACGTCACCTTTTTCAGTGTTCTCTTTATATACACGAAAACTTGGTTTATATTTGTTTGCAACACACAACGAAGGGACTTCATTGTATTATACTTGTATAGGAAGGTTTTAGGATACTTTCATTTTCAAATCCATACTATAGAACTTGACATCCATAAGTTAAACATTTTTCACGCTATCCTTTTACAGTAGTGACAACTTTTTAGCTTTAGCCATTTATTTTGTATTCAAACTGAACTTAGTTGAAAGAGTATCATTTAGTCAAACCTATACCACTGTCAAAGTATTATTTTTACTTCCCCCCCCCCCATTTGGATAAAGTATTGGTTTCTTCCAAATTTACGAGTTTGAGTTTTGAGTGGATATATCCGTTTTGGGTCTCTCTGAACCCAAAAAAGTGGTTTTCGAAGTGATGTCTGTGTGTGTGTGTGTGTGTGTGTGTGTGTGGATGTATGTGTACAGACCACACCTGTAGTCCAATTTTGATGAAATTTGGTATGTAGGTACTAATCCATGGTATCTCCAGGCGTTACTTTTTCATATTTTAGAAATTTTTATTTTTAATGGGGATTTTCCCATAAAAACCCATAAAATACCGGAACAATAGGATTTTCTCGAAAATGGCCCAAACGATTTAAAAAACTATTTATTTTATTATAGTCCTTTAGATCTAGAACAAAATGGTACAAATCCCATTTCCGTAAAAATTACGGTTCCAAATTTATTGCAACATAGGTTATTTTCCCATAAAATAACTACAAATTTGATAAAAAAAACTGGTTTGATTAAAATCAATGTGTTATAGCCCTTAAAATTCTAAACAATAGTGCAAACCCCCATTGCTGTAACAATTACGGTTCAAAGGTTATTGCAGCTTTTATGATTTTTCCTTATGAAATGTCATAGTTACTCCCACCGCTTAATCCATGATAAAGGTTGTTGACAAGCTTATGGAAGAAAGTATTTGTAAGATTGCTGATACCGTTTTTTCCTAAGTGTTTAACACTTATGACATTAAAAAATGCTTTTATTTCCAGTGAGTTGTTATTTTAGTTCACCATGATTGATATATGACTGATACCAGTAATAGTCGTCAGCTAGCTATGTTGGTGGTTGAATTCAGCTTATTATTCCGTTTATTATTCTAAATCTAGCTACATCTTCAAAATAGGAATGTAATGTCTAGTTATATCAATATTTAGAGGCGCAGTACTGTAATCACAAGTGTTCGCAGGCGTTTTTACGGTGAATATTTTATAAGTATGCTCATATACTGCTGCAAAGCCAGGTAAAGTTAAAGCTAATACCGCAGTACTGGACTAACTTACTTGTGATTGGTTCTCAAAGTTTGTGGAAAACAGATTCAATTGTTATCTTATTTTTGTCCCATATACAAGAGTGAGAGGGCGAAATGCCAGACTAGTGTTCGTCGTCGCCAAATAATGTGGCGTGCCGCGAAGAGCATGTTTTCTCCTACAGCTTATTGTGTTTAGCGAATTACAAAAACCTTATTAACAATAACATGTTGTGAAATTGTCTTATAAATTGTACGACTGCGTGCTAGTTAGCCAACTATAGGCTGAAAATGAGTGTTTACTATTTTACGCATTCAATCTAGCTGGGTTTGAGATTGAGTACTTCAACAAGGTCATCAATTCGATCTTTAGAAAATTCAGTAAATTTTGATGGTGAAAAAAGGCCCAGCTGTTTTTGATGGCTGGGATTTTAATAAGCGATTTTGACTAAAGAAACAGCTGACTAAGTAACAAAGCTATGCGAGACATATGCTTACCAGCCTTGCATCCATATCCAAGGCTTCATATTTATAGTTCTGTACAGTACATGAAATGAGATTAACATCTTTGTCTGTTTGAAATCATTGACTTTGTGTATAAAGTCAATGTTGAAATGTATCCATCTCAACTTTGTGAAATAAAAAAAAACCACGTCACAGTCTTGAAGGACATCGAATGAAAAGGTTTTTTTAAGTTTATTCTTAAAAATGAAGATAATAACGAAAATAACATACCTTTGATGGTATAACATGTTAAACTGTGCCACAGCAAAATAGTAGTACGTTGTAACATTTCACGAAAACAAAATTATTGCAATAGGCCTAATTGCATCACTATACTTCAAGTAACCTCATAGCTCTTATCATTATGATACCTATATGTTTTGCTTAGTTACATTTGGTTAATATGTGGTTTTGTATTTTAGTTTGTTTGCTGGTAAACTGCATGAACTATTGAACCTAGGAGTTGAAATTTCACACTAAGGGACAAGAATCTAGAATATTTAACCAACATACCATTACATTGTCTTCATATATCACTACTCTCGTGAAGGTCCATGAAGTTGGAACTTTTGAAAAGTATATTTTTGTTTCAATAGTGGTAAACAAATGACTAAATAATCATATGATACTTCAATAATTTGATCATAGAATACTAGCAGCCTGCATCACTTCGTGACTTCAAAATCCATTATATATGTTTTATATATGGTTAATAAGGCTGAAACCGATTTTTTCTCATCATATCCCTATATTTGCATTGCGTGCCCTATTATATTAATTGCGTGCACGATCTCTTCGAGGCATCTTAGTAAAACTACAAATGCTAATGAAACATAATGAAAACACAAAATCTCTTCTTTACATTTTAAACAAATAACATTAATTCCAACGTAGGGCCTAAGTCATTTTCTTCTTTACATTTTATACAAATAGAATTACAATATTTCACTTGAATTCACTGAAACATCACCATCTACAGAAAACCCATTTTTTCTATGGATGT